ACGGCTAGAAGTAGGGTTTTCAAAGTTCGTCGATTGTGCCCTGAGGGCATACTGTTTTTTGGGATTTGTGGCCCCCCTGATGGATTCCCCGCATTTTGGCACTAGGATTTTCGATAGAGGACACCATTCTGCACCTCTCCACCAAAATTCAGCGAAATCGTAGGGGCCGTCGATCCCTGCTGAATCCCTGCTGAACCCCTGCTGAATCCCTGCTAACTTCCGTTACATCAGTTTGATCGACATTCAGGTTGGCGGCGCGCATGCGCGCTGCGAATATCGATGACCTTGAATGCACATTCACATTCGCTGCGCGCATGCGCACTGCGAATATCGATGACCTTGAATGCACATTCGCGCGCGGGAAAACTACGCGGCGAGGAAGGGTAGGTAGCGTCTAGGGTTATTTGATATTGTTTATTGGTTGTTTTAAATGTTAATATTACCGTGAATGCTAGAGCTACCTTTTCATAAACGTTCAAAGTAAAATATATGATATCAGGCTGCTGCATCCCATGAGCAACCTGCTCTCTATGCCTCGCTCCTTTCTACTTTGGTAAGCATCTACTTTGGAAAGCATGACACATTATCTTGTCTGTTCTGTCGTACATCTGGTCTGGAGTAATGCATTTTAGCAGAACCTGAAATGCCAGGGGGCGGGAACTACTTTCCGACTGGGGGGGGCACACCATAATAGAGATCAACCTAGGGTACCCCCAAATCTAGTTTTCTCACCAGTTTTAGGCCACTTATTTTTCACCCCTCGGCTTTTTCAACAAAAAAAGAAAACATTTGCAAAAAAGTGTGGTATTCCGTCTCAAAGCTGTGGGGGCCCGCCCCCACGGCCCCAGAGTTGGGGGCAAGCTGCCCCCACTGCCCCCCGGCTCCCGCGCCTATGTGAAATGCTCCGCCTTGAAAAAAGATGTTCACGATTGAGTGTTCACAAGATCATAGGTTGCGGAAGGGGGGGGGGGGCTCTGGAGCACCATGCCCCCTTGATTTGGGCATTTTAACAGTAGCCCTATGAGGCGACCAACCTGAGTGTTTGCAAGATCATAGGCTGCGGAACGGGGGGGGGGGGCTCCAGAGCACCATGCCCCCTTGATTTTGGCATTTTAACAGTAGCCCTATGAGGCGACCAACCAGGAATTCCTCAATCCAGCGGATGAGGGGGTGTTGAATGTTGATCACTTGCAATTGTAACTTGGCTAGCAGAATAGGGTGGGATACTACGTCAAAGGCCTTGGGGAAGTTAAACGTGATGACGTCAACAGCTTCATCCCCGTCTTAGGGCTAGAGTCGTTTTACACCAAAAGTGGTTGGTCCATGGTGGAGCGACCTGGTGATTTACATCTGGTGAGTTACTTTGTAATCACTGAAGTGCCTTGGCCCTTGCTAGTCACCGAGAAGGGATGGTGGTTAGAAGGTATTGGGGATAGCTGAAGCCTGAATGTTAAAATTCATTTTACAGGTCACCGCAGCGTTAAGCTCTCGGACACGACCCGGACCAGAAATGCAGCCCGATGGCGCCGGGGAGCAAGACGGCACCTTCACCAGCCCGCCTGGTAGTGGTGAAGCATCGCCCGAGCGGTCGCGGTGAGGACTGTCTCAACTGTCACCTGGGAAGGGATCATGTTAAAGGTTGTTTATGCTTAATTTTTTCATGTCTAATGTTTCGACTAGATTGTAATGTTAGCTTGTTTCTACATGTATGTGCGTTTAATCGTCTAACTCTAGGCTGAGGAAAAAAGACTACGTGCTTTCGAAAGCTACCGTAAGTAAAAAAAAGTACCTGGTACCTTGAATATTCATCTACGACACTATCAACCTTTCACGAACCACGTTAGGTTAGGTTTGCTGTGTTATGGCGGTGAAATTGTAATCACTGAAGTGCCTTGGCCCTTGCTAGTCACCGAGAAGGGATGGTGGTTAGAAGGTATTGGGGATAGCTGAAGCCTGAATGTTAACCCTCGCATGTGTAGGGGGGGGGGGTCGGATGGACCCCCCCATGGTTTTTCGCGAATAACTCGCGTAAAAAGCGGCCGATCGCGACGAAACTTTCAGTACCCTCGCATTGATCGATTTTACATCTACCCTGAAAATTTCATGACCCTGACCAAAATGACCTTTGACCTGTGACCTCTTTTCCGAGACCATGTGGCATGTTTGGCCGGAATCGCGATTTCGCGTATGTCGGCTCGCACTAGCCGCGTGTTTGCAAGCTTTTCGTGGTTTCAAACGTTCAAACATGTGATTTGATGTTACTCCCGTGTGTGTCAAGGTCACCTGAAGGTCAGGTCAGGTCATTGACCTTTGGTGACCTCGGGTGACCTCGGTTCACTTTTTCGAGTTTTACATGTTTCTAGGCTAGTTTTTGGAGCTGAATTCGAATTTAGCAACCATTTGAACATTTACGAAGTAGTTTTGGCGACTTCGTAACATGTTACGAAGCTGTCAGAGGCGGTTGACACGTACTACGAATACCCGTCACGACGCCTACTGGTTGACCTGACCTGACCTGACCCGACTCGGTCTAAATGCTTCAAGACATCATCTGTGATCAAAACTAACACGATATTCGTGATCAGCACCCCGAAAAACCCCTTAGTAGCCACACTTTACGACTTTCTAACAGGTCCCGATTTTCCCGACTTTGGGTCATTGACCTGACCTGGAAGGTCAACCAATGACCTAGGACCTTAAAATTGGGTATCATCGGCTTCCTCTCGTCACGGGCAACACGCTCGTTTTTTCCGCGAAGCTCTAGCTCGATCAGGGGCCAAACGGCAAGGGGGGGGGGGTCCAACCGTCCAACCGACCCCCCCCCCCTACACATAGAAGCTGGCAAACGCCGCACACATGCGAGGGTTAAAGTTCGTTTTACAGGTCACCGCAGCGTTAAGCTCTCGGACACGACCCGGACCAGAAATGCAGCCCGATGGCGCCGGGGAGCAAGACGGCACCTCCACCAGCCCGCCTGGTAGTTGTGAAGCATCGCCCGAGCGGTCGCGGTGAGGACTGTCTCAACTGTCACCTGGGAAGGGATCATGTTAAAGGTTGTTTATGCTTAATTTTTTCATGTCTAATGTTTCGACTAGATTGTAATGTTAGCTTGTTTCTATGTGCGTTTAATCGTCTAACTCTAGGCTGAGGAAAAAAGACTACGTGCTTTCGAAAGCTACCGTAAGTAAAAAAGTATCTGGTAACTCGAATATTCGTCTAAGACACTATCTACCCTTCACAAACCACGTTAGGTTAGGTTTGCTGTGTTATGGCGGTGAAAGTAGGCTCTAGGCATAGCCATAGGTGTAGGAACAGGGGGGACGGGAAGGCCGGTGGCTCCCCACTTTTCATAGTGGGGGCCAGTAATGTTAACTGCCCCCCCCCCCACCAGTTTTTGCCAAACATTAATGTATTTGTAGGTACCACCGCGAAGAACAAACTTGACGGTTCTCCGGCCTGCCCTTCCATGACGATTTCCATTTGTGCTTCATCGTTATTGAGTGCAATTTTCCTCCACCCAATGAAAGGAAATTTTGTCAGAAGCAATAAGTGGCAGCTTAGAGGGCAGCGCGTGCTGCAAAGAGAGACAATACTGGCGCAGCAGAATGCGTAAACGGCGTAAACTAACAATTTATGTTAGGCAGCCTTCCATTGGTTGATCGGTTACTGGCATAGGCGTAGGAACAGGGGGAGGGGGCCATGGTCCCCCACTTTCGAATGGGGGGCCAGCAATGTTAACTGCCCCCCCCCCACACACACACCTTTTGCTGACTTTTCACTTCTCACGTTTCACGCTCGCTCGTAATAAGAATGTTTTTGGATGCTTCTGGAATTCGCATGTGTGCCAACCAGTGGCGGATCCAAGGTGGGGTCACATGGGCCATGCCCCCTTGGGGTCCGGGGGCACTACAGGCCTACCAGGGGCACCACCGACCTATCAGGGGCACCACAGACCTGACTGGGGCACCACAGACCTGACAGGGGCACCACCGGCCTGTCAGGAGCACCATCGGCCTAGCAAGAGCACCACAGGTCTGCCAGGGGCACCACAGACCTGTCAGGGGCACCACAGGTCTTCCAGGGGCACCAAAGGCCTTCCAGGGGCACCACCGGCCTCGCATGGGCACCTTGGGCCTGTCAAGGGCACCACGGACCTGTCAGGAGCACCTCAGGCTTGTCAGGGCCCAGGGGCACCATAGTCCTTTCAGGAGCACCACAGGCCTGTCAGGGGCACCACAGGCTTGCCAGGGGCACCCACTGGCCTCGCAGGGGCACCCTGGGACTGTCAGGGGCATCACGTGCCTGTCGGGGACACTTCAGGCTTGTCAGCATCACCACAGTCCTGTCAGGGCCCAGGGGCACCAGCGGCCTAGCAGGGGCACCACGGCCTTGCAGGGGCACCACCGGCCTCGCAGAGGCACCATGGGCCTGTCGCTGGCACTTCTGGCTCGTAAGAAGCACCACAGTCCTTCCAGGGGCATCACAAACCTGCCAGGGGCACCTGCGGCCTAGCAGGGGCACCACAGGCCCGCAAGGGACACCACAGGCCTGTCAGGGAAAAAATGAAAATAGGGCACCACCAAAATTAAGTGGCCGAAATCCGTTGAGGTTTTACTTTTGGGTATAGGTAGGGGCACTACTTCGATTCATGACCCTCCCCTTGGAGTTTTCCTGGACCCGCTCCTGGTGCCAACACGGCTGCGGAGGCCAGGGGACGCGTCCATAAGATTTAATATCTGGACGGGAGTCTCCCTGAGATTTTGGTCGATTTTTTTCTTGTCACTTTTTTACCGATTAATGAGCATGCTTGCGAAAATAAAGTGGCCGAAATCCGAGGAGAAAATGGATTTTGGGGGTAGGTGAGGTTTTGTGCCTCTGGGAGCCTGCCCCCCGCCCCACACTTTCGAAAACGTTCCTGCACCTATGGCTCTAGGTTATAAGTAAGGTTGTGTTAGGCTAGGTTACGCTAGGCTAGGATAGGCCCGACGGGATTTGCACCAGCCATCTCGCCATGGACTATGGAGTTCAATGTTTGGTATCATACACCATCATCCTATTCCATCGGTGATATTTTCCATCGGCGGTAATCGTTACAGAAAGTGTCGAACGTCACTTAGGCATTTCATGTAATGCCTAGGTAATGAGTGTACTCAGTCACTTTCGACAATATTTCAGCGACTGCCTGGTCTCCACCTGGCATTTGCCTAGACATTTCGTTAAATGCCGGATTTCAGCCAATGCTTACGACCAGGGATGCGGAGCCGGAGCCGCCGGAGCCGGCATATTTTGCCCGGAGCCGGAGCCGGAGCCGGAGCCGCCAAAAAAGGGTGCGACTCCGGCTCCTTTTATTTTTTGAAGAGGAAAAAAATAATTGACCTAGTTCGGTTTCGACAGTACAAGGCAGTAAAACATATGGTACTTACGTCATGGGCCATCAAGTGAATGAAAAAATCCGAATATTCCCAGTATTCCACAGTACGCAAACAACTTCCTGTGTGCTCTTCCCCCCCCCCACGTCTACTGCATCCCCAGAACATGAGGACCAGTCATCAGGTGACGGCCATTGTTTTCAAACCAGTGCAGTGGACTGCGACTCCCAGCACCGTCTCATCCCACACACACCCCACCCCTCACCCCCCAATGCAGCCGAGACGGGTGTCAGCTTACGATGGTTCACTGAACTCCGATTCGCGGCGACTGCGTTTCCAATGCCATCGCTTCCTAGCCCTTTGTTCTGCCAGTTCTCTCCGAGGTGCGTTTGCGCGGGGACGCGGTGAGCCGGTCATGGCAAAGAGTAACGCGTATAACCAATCCAATTTTTCTTCCACCCGTATTTAATTGATTGCGTAGGGGATGTACTGAGTCGGAGCTTGAGCCGCCGGAGCCGGAGCCGCCGGAGCCGGACCATTTTACTCGGAGCCGGAGCCGGAGCCGGAGCCGCCATAACATTTCACCTGGAGCCGGAGCCGGAGCCGGAGCCGATTTTTTTCTCCGGAGCCGGAGCCGGAGCCGTCTGAAATTTCCACGGCTCCGCATCCCTGCTTACGACATATGCATTGCCTGTACAACATACGTATGTCAAATATGAATCAGTCATGTATTAGTGTCATCTGGTGATTTACTATATCATCACTAAAGTTCCTTCCTAGGTACTTAAGAGATCAGGCTCCGTACTTCGGTATTGTGAGCGTAGTCCCATGACTACCAGACAGTAGGGGATGAGACTCCTACTTCGGTATTGTGAGCGTAGTCCCATGCCTGACAGACAGTAGGGATAGTGCCATGACTGACAGACAGTAGGCGATGAGGCTCCTACTTCGGTATTGTGAGCGTAGCCCCATGACTGAGAGACCGTAGGGGACAGTCCCATGACTGACAGACGGTAGGGGATGAGGCTCCTACTTCGGTATTGTGAGCGTAGTCCCATGACTGACAGACAATAGGGATGGTGCCATGACTGACAGACAGTAGGGGATGAGGCTTCTACTTCGGTATTGCGAGCGTAGTCTCATGACTGAGAGACCGTAGGGGACAGTCATATGACTGACAGACGGTAGGGGATGAGGCTCCTACTTCGGTATTGTGAGCGTAGTCCCATGACTGAGACACCGTAGAGGAAAGTCCCATGACTGACAGTAGAGGATGAGGCTCCTACTTCGGTATTGTGAGCGTAGTCCCATGACTGACAGACCGTTAAGGACAGTCCCATGACTGACAGTAGGGGATGAGGCTCCTACCTCGGTATTGTGAGCGTAGTCCCATGACTGACAGACGGTAGAGACAGTGCCATGACTGACAGACAGTAGGGGATGAGGCTCCTACTTCGGTATTGTGAGCGTAGTCCCATGACTGAGACACCGTAGAGGACAGTCCCATGACTGACAGACGTTAGGGGATGAGGCTCCTACTTCGGTATTGTGAGCGAAGTCTCATGACTGACAGACCGTTAAGGACAGTCCCATGACTGACAGTAGGGGATGAGGCTCCTACTTCGGTATTGTGAGCGTAGTCCCAAGACTGACAGACAGTAGGGACAGTCCCATGACTGACAGTAGGGGATGAGGCTCCTACTTCGGTATTGTGAGCGTAGTCCCATGACTGACACACCGTAGAGGACAATCCCATGACTGACAGTAGGGGATGAGGCTCCTACTTCGGTATTGTGAGCGTAGTCCCATGACTGACACACCGTAGAGGACAGTCCCATGACTGACAGACGTTAGGGGATGAGGCTCCTACTTCGGTATTGTGAGCGTAGTCTCATGACTGAGACACCGTAGAGGACAGTCCCATGACTGACAGACGTTAGGGGATGAGGCTCCTACTTCGGTATTGTGAGCGTACTCCCATGACTGACACACCGTAGAGGACAGTCCCATGACTGACAGTAGGGGATGAGGCTCCTACTTCGGTATTGTGAGCGTAGTCCCATGACTGAGACACCGTAGAGGACAGTCCCATGACTGACAGACGTTAGGGGATGAGGCTCCTACTTCGGTATTGTGAGCGTAGTCCCATGACTGACAGACCGTTAAGGACAGTCCCATGACTGACAGTAGGGGATGAGGCTCCTACTTCGGTATTATGAGCGTAGTCCCAAGACTGACAGACAGTAGGGACAGTGCCATGACCGACAGACAGTAGGGGATGAGGCTCCTACTTCGGTATTGTGAGCGTAGTCCCATGACTGAGACACCGTAGAGGACAGTCCCATGACTGACAGTAGGGGATGAGGCTCCTACTTCGGTATTGTGAGCGTAGTCCCATGACTGACACACTGTAGAGGACAGTCCCATGACTGACAGTAGGGGATGAGGCTCCTACTTCGGTATTGTGAGCGTAGTCCCATGACTGAGACACCGTAGAGGACAGTCCCATGACTGACAGACGTTAGGGGATGAGGCTCCTACTTCGGTATTGTGAGCGTAGTCCCATGACTGACAGACCGTTAAGGACAGTCCCATGACTGACAGTAGGGGATGAGGCTCCTACTTCGGTATTGTGAGCGTAGTCCCAAGACTGACAGACAGTAGGGACAGTGCCATGACCGACAGACAGTAGGGGATGAGGCTCCTACTTCGGTATTGTGAGCGTAGTCCCATGACTGAGACACCGTAGAGGACAGTCCCATGACTGACAGTAGGGGATGAGGCTCCTACTTCGGTATTGTGAGCGTAGTCCCATGACTGACAGACAGTAGGGATAGTGCCATGACTGACAGACATTAGGGGATGAGGCTCCTACTTCGGTATTGTGAGCGTAGTCCCAAGACTGACAGACAGTAGGGACAGTGCAATGACTGACAGACAGTAGGGGATGAGACTCCTACTTCGGTATTGTGAGTGTAGTCCCATGACTGACAGACGGTAGAGACAGTGCCATGACTGACAGACAGTAGGGGATGAGGCTCCTACTTCGGTATTGTGAGCGTAGTCCCATGACTGAGACACCGTAGGGGACAGTTCCATGACTGACAGTAGGGGATGAGGCTCCTACTTCGGTATTGTGAGCGTAGTCCCATGACTGACAGACGGTAGGTTTAGTGCCATGACTGACAGACAGTAGGGGATGAGGCTCCTACTTCGGTATTGTGAGCGTAGTCCCATGACTGAGACACCGTAGAGGACAGTCCCATGACTGACAGTAGGGGATGAGGCTCCTACTTCGGTATTGTGAGCGTAGTCCCATGACTGAGACACCGTAGAGGACAGTCCCATGACTGACAGACGTTAGGGGATGAGGCTCCTACTTCGGTATTGTGAGCGAAGTCTCATGACTGACAGACCGTTAAGGACAGTCCCATGACTGACAGTAGGGGATGAGGCTCCTACTTCGGTATTGTGAGCGTAGTCCCAAGACTGACAGACAGTAGGGACAGTGCCATGACCGACAGACAGTAGGGGATGAGGCTCCTACTTCGGTATTGTGAGCGTAGTCCCATGACTGAGACACCGTAGAGGACAGTCCCATGACTGACAGTAGGGGATGAGGCTCCTACTTCGGTATTGTGAGCGTAGTCCCATGACTGAGACACCGTAGAGGACAGTCCCATGACTGACATACGTTAGGGGATGAGGCTCCTACTTCGGTATTGTGAGCGTAGTCCCATGACTGAGACACCGTAGAGGACAGTCCCATGACTGACAGACGTTAGGGGATGAGGCTCCTACTTCGGTATTGTGAGCGTAGTCCCATGACTGACACACCATATAGGACAGTCCCATGACTGACAGTAGGGGATGAGGCTCCTACTTCGGTATTATGAGCGTAGTCCCAAGACTGACAGACAGTAGGGACAGTGCCATGACCGACAGACAGTAGGGGATGAGGCTCCTACTTCGGTATTGTGAGCGTAGTCCCATGACTGAGACACCGTAGAGGACAGTCCCATGACTGACAGTAGGGGATGAGGCTCCTACTTCGGTATTGTGAGCGTAGTCCCATGACTGA